TAGACACCCGCCCCCCGCCACCCTCCACCCTGCCTCTACCATCTGAGCTCTGAAGCGAAGCAGGAACTCCCAGGCGGGGTCCCAGACACAGCGGGCAGCCGGGACTACGGGCAGCTCTGCTCCTGCTCCTTCCGGAGCCTGCAGCTGTCCAGAGTGGGGAGCTCTCCGTGCCCTTCCCCAGTGCGTGCTGGGCGTGGAAGCGGGTGTGAGCACCCACAGCACTGTGTTCAGGGCCTCGGAACCCAGACCCTCAAGGAGTCCATCCTCTACCTATGCTTGTTCCAAAAACGATCGTGACGACTTACCAAGACCTAGCCCTAGAGAGGCAAGGTTTGCCAGAGGCCAGAACAAAACACCCCTGTAAGAGCATAGGCCCTGGGGCCAGCAGGTAGCTTAAGGGTTACGTCCCATGGAGTCCACTGGCTTGAGTCTCGGACCCAGCTGCTTAAAACTTGAGCTGGGTGCGTGCGTGTGTGCGCCCCAAATCCTGAGAGGAGAATGGAGGAGAAGGGATGTGGTGTGGCCACCCCCCTGTAGGGGCGATTTCTCACTTTCTATCTCTCTGTCTCTCTGGCCAGAGCACACACTCTATATATAGCAAACATCTCTCCTTAGAAAAATTAAAAGAGATCACAGGCCCTGTGGGCAGGGTCTGCCCTGCCACTCTCCTCGCCAGGCATGGCATAAACCGGGGTGCTGTTCCCGTGGCCCGCGCAGGGAGCAGGGTGCATTCTCCACGATCACCCATCTGCACTTTCACAGTCTGTCCTCCTGGACTCCCACCCTGGGCTGGGTTTGTCTCAAGGCGACCAGCATGGGCCGAGGTCCCCAGACACCATAGAGGCTGGTGCGGGAGCCTAGCAGGATCAGCCCACCCTTGCCTGGCCCTCGGTCACTTGGGAGCCTCCCTGCCCCATCTGGCCTTTGCAGAGCAAACAGAGGGGATTAGCGGCCGGGAGAGTCCTGGCGGTGTGGGCCAAGGGCCAGGGGCCAGGCTGGCAGGTGGAGGTTGGGGGGTGAGCTAGCTAGCTGAAATGGGGCCCCTGGTCCCCCTTCTCCGGCTGCTGCCTCAGTGTTTCACCCCTCCCTCCCTCCTGCCCAGAGCGGTCCTTTCTCCGGTGCAGTTCTCAGAGCACAGTGACTGCACAGGCGGCTGCCCAGAGGCGCCTTGGGGGGACTCCGAGTGCAGGGCAGGAGGGCCGGAGGGTGGGATCGGACCCCCACTGTCTCCCCATCCTGCTGCCCCAGCCGGTCTAGGAAGCCCCAGCCTCCCTCATTGGCGCACCCCTCCAAGCCTATACAGCCTGGCGTCAGCGCCTCCGGGCAGCCCTACCTCGCTGTGGAAAAGCTCGCATTCTGGAGTCAGACAGTCAACTTTCGATTCACTTAGTTCCTTTCCTTTTCTTTAAAAAAGATAATTTATTCAACTTTATTTATCATTATTATTTTTTAATTTGACCAGAGAGAGACAGAAAGTGAGAAAGCAATCTGCCGGGTCCGGGACTCAAACCGCAGTCACCTGTGTGGGAGTCCAACGCCCTAAGCCACCACACCACCCGGCAGCCCCATAGGTCCTTAGCGTTTCCGGCCTCGTCCCTCCTCTGTGGACGGGGCCCAGGCACGCAGACCGCCCGCGGGCAGACGCAGCCCAAGGGCAGCATCCTTCGCTGCGCGCTGGCTGTAGTTCACGAGGGGCCTGTCGGTGGCGCTGTGATGGGGAGTGGGCCGCCATAGCGGGGCCCAGGCCCTGAGCTGCCCGCGTCCTCAGATGCCATCCCAGGCCTGGAGCAAGTGCGGCTGGCGCCGTCCATGAGGAACCGGAGTGGCGCCGTGTGGAGCAGGGCCTCGGTCCCCTTCTCCAGCTGGGAGGTGGAGATGCGCATGCGGGTGACTGGGCCGGGGCGCCGCGGAGCCCAGGGCATGGTGAGGGCCCCCAGGGACGAGTCGGGGGGCGGGGTTCCCGTGTCCTGGGACCCCTCAGCTGAGGCCGGGGCCCTGCAGGCCGTGTGGTACACCTGGGCCAGGGGCCGAGCGAGCTCTGCCCTGGAGGGCGCGGCGTCGTGGGGCGGCATCGGCGTCAAAAAACCCGCGGAGGGCAGCCAGGTGAGGCTGGAGTCCTTTCGGCACGCCCCCGCCCATGCCCTCACCCTCCTCCCTGTGCCCGGGCTCGGCCGACTGTCACCTCCCGCAGAGCAGCCCCGCCATCCGCGTGCTGGCCGGCGACGGGCGCGCCCCGCAGGAGCAGCCTGGGTGAGCCCCGCCCCCACTCCTGGCCCGGGCGGGCGGTGGTTCCGTGCGGGTCCACGGGCCCCCACTCCGGGTCGGGGAGCCCCCCTCCCTGCTGCGGTTCTTGCTCGGCCCTTGGGCTGAGGGCTGCCCGTTGGGACCGGGTTTCAGATGTGCCTCCGAGTTTGCGTGCTCTTTCCAGGAACCAAAGGGCCCCCAAAGTCAATTAAGTCGGCACGGCAGCCCGGGGAGCCTGAGTCAGAGCCGGGGACGATGCCCCCTGCTGGGCCCCAGGTGAAACGACAGCCGCAGGGGCCTACCTAGAAGACTGTCGCTATTACCTCACCCAACCCCGACGTCCTTGGTAACAGCGGTATTAGTCCCCATTTACAGATGCAGACAGTAAGGCCCAGAGATCACACAGCCGTACCAGAGCAGAGATTTAGCCCAGACCGTCTGCGGAGGCTCCACGCCCTCCCCCTGCACAGGCGCGCCCTCCCCCTGCACAGGCATGCCTTCCCGTCCTCCCAGATGACGTGGCCTCCTCGGTAGCTGGGCCGGTTTGTTGATGCCTCTCAGCAAACTTCCTTGAGCTCATCCCAACCAGAACAACACTAGTGTTCATGGAGTGGGGTTTACTGTGCCAGGCGCAGGGCCAAGGGCGTTCCGGTACCTGTCTTAGCTAACCTCGTAATGCCTCGCTGTTTCGCTGTTGGGAGGTGTTGCAATTGCTATCCTCTTTTTTTTTTTTTTTCCTTGTAAGATTTTTTGGTCATCATTTTCAAGCCACCGGGTCCAGAACTCGAACTGCAGTCAGCCATGTAGGAGTCCAGAGCCTTAAGCACTACGCCAAATGCTGGCCCCATGTTGCATTCATATATTTTTTAGAGGTTTTTGCTATAGGACACACGTGCTCTCTGGAGAGACAGAGGGAGGCAGAGAGACAGAAAGCGAGAAATCACCCCCAAGGGGGTTGGCGACGCCACAATCCCTTCTCCTCCATTCTCCTCTCGGGATGTTGGACACGCACGCACAGGGGCCTGCCGTGAGTTAAAGCTGCTGGTCCAGACCCGAAGTGCAGTCCACTCCGCGGGAGTGGCGAGGTAGTGCTATGCGGTCTGCTGGTCCAAGTCTGAAGGTGGGGGAAGGTGAGGCAGCACGCCCAGGGCCACCCAGCAGGGGGCGCAGCTCTGCTCTGGGTGGCCTCCCCCTTGGCTGCCAGTGTAGTGACAGATGCTCCGGGGTGAGCTGCCCGCAGTGCCCACATGCCCAGAGGAGCTCAGGCCTCACACACCTCTCCTAACTCCCCAGAGTCTGCTGTGCTGGCCCTGGGGTAGGGGGGTCATAGTGTCCTTGGCCACTAGGACGTGTCCCTGTGGTCTGCCCTGGGTCTGACCTGCTGCAGTGAGCTCTTGGGTAGGAGGACAGAGAAGCCCTACCCTGAGGCATGGAGTTGGGGACTTAGAGTTTAGGGAAGGAGAGGGAGGGACATGGGATGAGGTGGCAGGGCCATTGTGCAGGCCCCTGGCCGCTTTGTCGGGAAGCCCCAAGTCCCAGCATGCCAGCTGGGGCTTGCTTTGCTGCCCCCTCCTCTTGCTGAAGGAGCAGACCCAGCAGGAGACCCAACGGACAGCAGCGATGTGTCCCCACCAGTCCTCCAGCAGGGAGGGGGCACTGCGGGCCTGGTCAGGGCTTCCGGGGCTGTCCCCATGGGCCAGGCCTTAGGTCCTGTGTGGCCTGGCTAGACTGTGAGCACCCACAGGGACGGAGCCAGCCGGGTGTTGGGCTCCTGTCACCGGGACTTCCGGAACCGGCCATACCCCGTGAGAGCTCGGATCACCTACTGGGGCCAGAGGCTGCGAGTGAGTGGCTCCTTCTGCTTGTGCGCGTCCTGTGGGTGGCGGGCGCACATACAGGGCTCTGAGCCTACGCTCGCTGCATGTGAGTGCCCACCACACGGGGCCTGGCATGCACATGTCCCTGGCACTCCATGCCAACACCTGTGTGCCAGAGACCAGGTATGGGGTCATGGCACGCCCCCTCCACCAAACCCTGCGACTGTCTGCCCTGCTTCAGGACAGCAGTGGGGAGAGCCGGCATCGGAGCTGGGACCACCCTCCCTGCTGGCTCTGAGGACAGGCAGGGCTCACTTCCTCCGCGCCCCTCAGGTGTCCTTGAACAGTGGCCTCACTCCCAGTGACCCAGAAGAGCTCTGCGTCGATACGGGGCCCCTGCTTTTGGCCCCTGGAGGCTTCTTTGGAGTCTTGGCGGCCACCAGCACCCTGGCAGGTGAGGGTCCTGCAGGGCAGGTAAGAGCAGAGGGGCAGTGCAAACACCTTGGCAGGTGAGGGTCCTTCCGGGCAGGTAAGAGCAGAGGGGCAGTGCGCAATGTATCTTCCTTAGCCGGGTGTGGGGCCAGCCTCTTCCTCGCCATGTGACCTGGGCAGGCCACCAGCGTCTCTGGGCCCCTGCCGCCACTGGGAGAAGCCACGTCACCTGGCAGGCTGTTCAAGGTCTCCAGTGGGTAGACACAAGAAGAGTGTTTCCCAGTGTCGACTCCACAAGGATCCCTAGCTGGCAGCTGCGGGCCAGATGGACGGGAGCCAGCCGCAAGGGACATTCAGGGAAATGGGGCAAAGAGATGACTCAACAGAGAGCCCGCGAAGGGCCTCAGAGCTGGAAAGCAGGACGCGCACAGGGCATGGAGTCCTCGGATGTCGGGTCTCTAGACTCTGGGCACTGAGGAGCCATGGAAGGCTTCCGAGGAGGAGAGTGACAAGGCCAGAGCCACGCTGGCGAGGCGACCACTGCCTAACTGCTCTGCCAGCAGCAGCTGTCTCTGGGCTCGCGGGTGACACTCAGTTCTCTGCCATGGCTCTAACCGGGAGATTTCGGGATTGTCCAGCCTCCCCACGCACTGGGGCCCGCCTCTGCTGAGCGTGGGCTCAGACCACCACCTGCTCGTCTAACCCTCACACCTCCGTCCTAGGAGTGAGCAGGACAAGGGTCAGAGCGTGCCCAGAGTAGCCGGAGCGGTCCAGGTCGCCCACCCCTGGGGCCAGCATGGAGCTTGGGGGTGAGGGCTGAACAAGGGGGCTCCGGGCAGAAGGGGCTTATCTTCCTCCGCCATCCCCTTCCAGATGACCACGATGTCCTGTCCTTCCTGACCTTCAGCCTGAGCCAGCCGGGTCCAGAGGTGAGACCAGCGGCAGCCCCCGGCAGGCAACCCAGGGACCCTTTCCCCCCAGTGCCCCTACCCATGTCCTGGTGTCCTTGGTCCTGCCATTGGGCCTACCCCCTCCTGTTCTCTGAGTTCTTCCCGGAAGCTCATGTGGCCACCGGGCTGGCTAGGTCAGGCTCTTATATGACCATCATGACCAGTGGGTATCTAAAGGCACAGGGGCCGTGGGAGCACAGAGGAAGCGTTGGAACCCTCCAGGAGAGCAGGAGGGCTGCCTGGAGGAGGAGATGTGCATATGGAGGCAGAGGCTGCAGTGGGAAGGGAGACAGTGGGGCAGGGGCAGAGGCAGAGCCCAGAGGCTGGAGACCTTCAGGCCTGGCATTGAACTGAGGCTCTTCCCGGTTGGACTGGAGCGAATGTTTGCTCAGGGAAGGAGCCGGATTCACGGGGGGCTTGCAGGAAGGGTTCCCATCGGTAGAGGAAAACAACTACCTGCAGAGAGAGGAAGGGGAATCCAGAGCCCCTCCAGGTCGCCCACGGGTTCAGGACTGTGGTCTTCCTTCTTCTTTTTTTTTTTTTTTTTTGAGAGATTTTCACTGTAG